CAATGATTATGGCGTATTGTAAACTTTAAATTCTTATGTTACATAACCTTCTATGTAATTTCTCCGTTTCACATTGCTTCCTTACTCTACAAACATCAATACACCTTAACACTCGAAACCTAATATTGCTATGTGAATTCGGGCTTAAATAGTTTCACATGTATTTAATGATGTTTAGACTTATTGTCTGAAAATAACCATTACGAATCATTGAGCTCCATCCGATCATGTTCCTCATCTGCAGCTGCAACCCTTGACACCGACGACTACAGCTGGTCCGACTGGGTGGATTCCTACAGTATTAGGGGAGGAGAGGAGTTCTCAGTGACAGGCTTCATGCGACGATCAAGGGTGTGCATTTAAGAATTGACTTACATAGTTTTTGCGCTTGTGGAGGCAGAAACATAAATACCGGTTTGCACAGTGTAAATACACGTATGGGTATATGCAATTGCGAACACCGGTTTGTACGTTTATTTAAGAATTGACTTCAATATGTTTTGCGCTTATGGAGGCATAAACCGTTTGCATACTTTGAAATTTACGTAACTAAAAAGTACAAAAAATTATAAAAAGTCAACAATAATAACTTTACAGACTTGTTTATCATTAAAACGAAATACTATGGACAACAGTTCGAGATCAGTGGCATTGTTCAACAGCAGCGCAAATCCCGCGAAGTCTATCAGCAGACAACCAGAAAGCAGTAGACGTCTATTGGGCATGGTCTCATAAACGGAAACAAAAGTTACTTGTTTGGACAAACAGATGCCATGTTATGAAGGCTACAACATTCAAGATCTCAGTAAAGCTTTCAAAACGTTTCACGGTAGACATGTGGAGGACATTTTCAAATTTGACACATCAGTGTCAAGAACAATGGCCGTATAATCAACTTCTTGATTTCATATAATATGAAAAGGGTTTTGCCGCTTTTATTTATTATCCCTGATGCTATAGATCTCGTTGAAATCGGATAAACAAATATTTGATTAACGGATACACTTCAGGATACATAGCATTTCCGTTTTATTTAAGGTATGAACATTCAGTCATCGTCGGAAGACGGGTACACCAAATAAACATATTCGTGTATATACTTCTTTAATCACACTAGTCCATTCCATATCAAGTATATATTCTATATAAGTATAATAAACAGTGAAATAGACATATGCCCTTTATTTGGTAAAGATATAGCAGCACTAGCAATTCAAAAATGTGCTTCATGTACTGATTTGTTTGACAGGTACTTTGTTGGAAGTTGACGGATGACAAAATAGACAAAAAACAGTTATGAATACATTTTTTGTCTACTTTGTGCTTTATCTACGTTACGATAGGCATGTTTCAATTGTCTTCAAAATTTCCGCCCGTGAGGCAGAATTACCTCGTATCATGACAGTAGTTGATAGTGATTCATTAACACATCGTCATGATTTTGTCGGAATACGATCCTGGACTCCGTGTATACAGATATTGCTTATGATTAAGTTTTGTCACTTTCATATATCGATTTCAGGAGAGAAAAGTTAATGTTACTTTGCTACAGATTATTCTTTTATTCTAATTGAATTTCTTTCGATGCTCTGTTAGCAAATACATTAAGATGCTATGAATTGATAACAGGTAAATTCTAAAATGCACATATATGTTATCCTTTGAATTAACATTGTCTAAATACGTTAGGCATTTCGGTCACTGTCTGCCGTTATTCTTTTCATTCATGGACCCATTTCCAGTGTCCCCCAACGTGATATTGCTGGATCATTGCCAAAAGCGTTGAAAATTCAGCTCTCTCACTCACTCATTCACTCACTCCCTTCACCCGTGAAGATCTGGGTTAGAATAGGTCTTCAGCAACGAATTCTTATTCGTTAAAGGCGACTATGCTTGTCTTTAGAGGCGACTAACGGGATCGGTTGGTCAGGCTCGCTGACTTGGCTGATGCATGTCATCGTATTCCAATTGTATGGATCGATGCTCATAATGTCAGTCGCTGGATTGTCTGGTCCAGACTAGATTATTTACAGACCGCCGTTATATAGCTGGAATATTGCAGATTGCGGTTTTAAACAACAAACAAACAAACAAACAAACATTCACTCACTCACTTATTCGCAACTTGATTCATATTTTCCAGAAAAATGCCGAAAAGGCAGGGATATGCGACTGCCCTATGGACATTGAGTGTAGAACGAAGAGCTCAAACAAAAACATTCCACTCAATAGTAAAAACTCCAATGGCATCAGGTTCTCGGATGCATTGAAATTGGCTGGCCCTAACTCAGGATTGAAATGCTTGAAGAGCAGGAACACACGGAAGTGCCCTAAAGTACAATGCAGGACATTCTGTCAAAATGGTATGTAAAAAAATAACAGGTATTGTTTAACTAAGAACGACAAATTATACATGTCAAGCTGATTGGCAGCTAACGTGCCTATTCACCAAAAAGTGGCAGCAATAAAACGTTGTTCTTGTGCAGACCACTTCTAAATGGTTGGAAGAATATCACAAAAAGTTAAAGGCTGTGTTTTTTATGCAAATTGTGTTAATGGTGGGTTCTACCGATACAGCAGGGCGTGCTTACTCTTTTCGCGAGCACCTGGTGTCATCACTTATTTTCAGTGGTCCATTCATATAGTTTTCTCCAGGATTTTGTCTTTTATGCTAAATGTCATCTGTTTCGGCGGATAATCAAGACTTGTTATATTAAATACTTTTGGTCGAAACTGTGGAATGATATAGATCTTGCAATTTGATTCATTCTGGTTGTAGGTAATGGAAACTGTAAAACAAACGACGACTGTGGCGACAAGCAATGCGAAGACACATCCCGTGGACACAGATGCAACAACACCCCGAAGAAAGCTGTTGGCTGTCTGTACCCCTTCTCCTTCCAGTGTAGAACTACCCAAATAGACTTCCGTAAGTCATGCTTATACACAATCCCCGTGAAGATCCAGGTTAGATGTGGTCTCAGCAACCCATGCTTATCGTAAGAGGCGAGTTACAGGATCGGGTAGTCAGGCTTGCTGACTTGGTTGATGCATGTCATCGTAACCCAATTACGTAGATCGATGTCCATGATGTCCATGATCACTGCATTGTCTGGACCAGACTCGATTATTTAAAAACCGTCATCATATAGCTGGAATATTGGAGTGTTGCGTTAAACAACAATACTTATACGCAAATTATATTTCAACAGTGTTAATTGTTATCAAGCAGGATTAGTTTTATGGAGATAAAATTACACATTAAAACATTTCTAAACTTTGATCACTTGGTGGAATTCCTTAGATGAGAAACCAAGGACCATATTCTGAATCTGGGATAAGAACCAGGAATCCGCGGATCCTGGCACCGAAGGCACCCACTCAGCATGACGAATTCCAGCGCTTTGCTCCACTTTGTCTTCCAATAACACTTTGTCTTCTATTTACTGCACTGGGTCTTATATGTACTGCACTGGGTCTCCGTTTACTGCACTGGGTCTTCCATTAACTGCACCGGGTCTTCCGTTTACTGCACTGAGTCTTCCGTTTACTGCACTGGGTCTTCCGTTAACTCCACTTTGTCTTCCGTTTACTGCACCGGGTCTTCCGTTTACTGCACTGAGTCTTCCATTTACTCCACTGTGTCTTCCATTTACTCCACTTTGTCTTCCATTTAAACCAATTTGTCTTCCATTTACTGCACTGGGTCTTCCGTTAACTCCACTTTGTCTTCCATTTAAACCAATTTGTCTTCCATTTACTGCACTGGGTCTTCCGTTTACTCCACTTTGTCTTCCGTTTACTGCACTGGGTCTTCCATTTACTGCACTGGGTCTTCCATTTACTCCACTATGTCTTCCATTTACGCCACTTTGTCTTCCATTTAATCCAATTTGTCTTCCATTTACTGCACTGGGTCTCCCGTTTACTGCCCTGGGTCTTCCATTTACTCCACTGGGTCTTCCATTTACTCCACTGGGTCTTCCGTGCATCTTGCTTATTGAAATGATTTCAATTGAATCTGTGTAACAACGCTAATTGGTTTATATTTTCAGAGGGCGCTAAGTGCATATCAAGCGGAGACCCACATACGTCCACTTTCGACAGCTGTACACTGAAACCGACCATCCGCAAAGGGAAGAAGCATTATCCAAAGATCGATTTCATGGGCGTATGCAAATATAGAATGGCTGGTTGTGTGAGCGCGTCGTGCCCGGAGAAATGGGAGGTTATAGCTGATAACTGGAAACGTGATAGACCCAACGGCGTTCCTTCATGGACGAAATCTATCACCTTTGAAGGTTGTGGAACAACAATTAAGATCGGACAGAGGCCTAGGAATCGTGGCAGACCAGAATTCCTTGTAAGTATATAAACAACATCACTCCCTTAAACTGATTGCCTCTGAAACAGTTTCTTGTGGGTATTCCCGGTTAAAATGATGATTGCTTGATTTTTACTGAGCAATATTACAGCTATCTGACGGCGGTCTGTAAACAATTGAGTCTGGACCTGCCAATCCAGTGAATTACATACAAATCGTATTTGCTTTGATGCAAATGTCATTTCACGCGCACCAGTGTATAGCTCAGGTCATCCGGGTGGCAGTGTTGAGATCATCAATGTGACGCATAGTCCGAATGATGTCACACTAGAAATGACGTCATAGCTCTAGGACGGCGGTGGTGATTAGTGTGTTTTCCTATGTAATAAGGAGATAAATATTCTACGTTCTCAATGTAAAGCTTGGTAACCTGTAGATTTAACCGCGCTAAAATGAATTTCAAATGTTAAAATTAGCTCTACATTGAAAACACAGTATGTTTATCTCCATTCTACTATGACTAAATTAAATGGGGATTCTTTAGTGTTAGCAAATATGTTGAGTGAAGCAGCTTGGGTCGTGTTGAGTGCTTTGCGTGGGTTGTCGATCTAAATTATGGACTCACCGACTATAGCCTGTAAACAAAATATGGCGCTGTATATGCTCAAGCAGTATGTTACGGTAATATGTCACTCGAACATATGACAGGCATTAAAAGCATATACACACGGCAACTTGTTTTCGTTCTAAACCGCACGTCATATCGCTCATTGTGACGCAAAAGAATGACATCACAGTCGTATATTGAGGAGCGCCAAATTCCAAGGTCTCTGTTGTCCCCCAAACTTAAAAAAACATTCTCTTTGAAGATTTCTTTCCTGTGTTTATGCACGAAATGTATTGCCATACATCCTTTCAATATTGTAGTAACCGCAACTTCGCATTTTGTAACCTGTAATCGTAGATATTATTTTGATATGCCTAATGACTGAAAAAAGTACTATTCTATGAATATAAGATTCCGCGGTGATGCGGCCGTCAAACCAGCTGTTTTAATCAGATGGGAGTTTATTGTGATTTAGTAGCCTCTGACTGACCAATCAGAAACGAGTAATATCGAAATTCATGGTAGAATGGGTAATAAAGAAATTATTACACTCGCAATTGTGTCATACTGATTTTACGAAAATAATAAATATATTATAAGGTTTCATGTATTACGCTACCTCTCGCTGGGGAAATACAATAATTCTGACACTCGTTGTGTAAAATCAGTACGCGGAAACACGTGATCGGATAATAATCTCGAAATATTGCCAAGGTTTTAAAACTCGAACGACCGGATTAGTTGGTTTGGAAAGTACGAACAACGAATCTACGTATACCTTTATCTTACAGGTGGGAGGAAACTCCGATAGCCCGACCCAGTGTGGAGAATGCTTTTCGTGCTATTGCGCAGGTAAATTCATCATCTGTACCACGAGTTATGGCGTCCAGTTTGGTTTTGATGGCGACAAGACAGCATTTGTCAAGGTGGACAAACGTTTTGCTAGCAAAGTCAATGGTATCTGTGGTAACTTCAACGACAACGGTGCGGATGATTTCTTGATGAAGAACGGCGAAAAGCCACCAGGTAAAGGTAGCAGAGAACAGGAGAGAAATCTCGGACAGCAATGGCTTATTCCTGGCGAGGATGAAGATGCTGAAGAGTAAGACATTTTCCATGATCTTTATATGTGCATTTGCCGTTCTTCTGTCACAAAATAATTAAGCTGTACCCTCGGCAAAAAATGGTCCGTTGAAATTAATACCAATCAGAAATATCTGTTTATGTCTTCAAATTAAAAATGGAGACGCTGGAGATGGTAAGGGTTGGTGGGGGTGAAGGGTGGTTATTATAGTATTTTACTTTGAATAATTGTATTTGATTTTATTCCGAAGGCAAGAAACTATTTCTCATACCAAAATAAGACTTTGACAACAGCACATTTATTGCTTCATTGATTGAATGCCGTATCAAGAAAAAATGTGCCATTACGTCTATTGATACTTACGTCTACTGTATTGTTGATACTTATAGAAACATTCTAAATGCGTATTTTGAACGTTATAGTTGCCAAAAGGAACCGGGAGTCTTGAATGACTGCAAGGAAGAAGACGAAAAGGTGGCAGCCGGCGATGATGCCTGTGGAATGATCAACAGCGAAACCATCTTCCCGTTGGTCGATGAAGCAACGAGGACCCAGTACTATAAGTCCTGTGTTGCTGATTACTGCAACACTAAAGAGGACGAAGATATTTGCACCATACTTCAAGCGATGGCTGAAATTGCGAGAGACAAAAATGAAATGGCTGCTATTTCATATCTGGATAAAACCAACAACCGATGTCGTAAGTGAACTTCTAATCTATAGTTTAATTCTTAAGTGCATACCGTCCACAACTTATTAAAGGGGAAGTCAAGTGGTTAAAGGGTCACTCGTCAGGCCGAAGACCAAGGTTCGATTCCTCAAAGTCTGAAGCCCATTTCTGGTGCTCATCGCCGTGATATTACTGGAATTTTGCTAAAAACGGCGTAAATCCATATTCAGTCCCTCAGTATTCAAAAGGAATCTATCATATTTTGTCATACCATAGCTACTGAGTACGACCATCTCATTTAGTAACAGCGACTCATGACATGTAAACACGAATATGATCATATATAAAAAAATACGTTTCTGTCTTGCAGCAACCCCAACCTGTGGTGAAAATGAAATATATGGCAATTATAAATGTCAAGAATCCTGTACCGATGAGCCAAACCAAGCTTGCCCTGTGTCATCCTTCAAACCAGGATGTCACTGCAATGATAACTACGTCCTAAGTGGCAGCAAGTGTGTGTTGCCATCCGAATGTGGATGTAGAATGCCCAATGGACAATATCTTGGTGTAAGCAGTCACTTGTAGTTCAATAAATAAATTTAATCAAATAAGGACAGTTAAAATAAAAATCAGTTGAAAAACATTATTACTGCATTTGTATTCATAACTTTGTAAAACAAACTATATCTTCTTTTGAACAGCTTGGAAGGACTGCCTACATCAATTGTAACCGAAAACTGACTTGCGAAAAGCGTGGGGATGAAAGACCGGAAATTGTATTTGAAAGGGATCTCCTGTGCAGACCGGAAGAATGTGGCAATAACAGATGCTTCTGCGGGCGTGGTCGCAGGAGAGAGGGAAAAAGATGTAAATAGCCGTTAAATAAGTCGTCATACGACTCTTGCTCAAAAGTTGTTTGCACAGATTTACAACATTCAAGTCCTTTGTAGAAAGGTTGTATGGCAGACATTTGAAAGATGTTTACGCGGTTACCAAAATGATGTCCGATACAATTCCCTATTTTGATTTGTGCCATGTAATCCCTTTTTTTCGGGCGAAAAACTGTCTTTCCTTTGCATGTGTTTGCGACAGGTGTCACCGGTGATGCAGGACAAGCTTCACTTTTCGCGAACTCCTGGCATCATTGCTATTTGATAGTGTTTCATGAACATACGTTTATACTATAGTCGGAATCATACAATGGACTCTGCATTTAACAGATATTTCGTATGATCATGTAAAGGATTTTGTCGCATATATTTAAGGCATTTCTTATGATTATGGAAAGGGTTTTGTTGCTTTTATTGTCCAAGTATTAACAGTGAATAAAACACATTTTTACTCATTCTAGGTGTGGACAAACCAGCCCAGCACAGATGTTCACGAGGTTTCATGAGAGTAGGGTCCTTATGCGTGGCTCATATCTCTGTCCCCAATGTCTGGACACAAGCTGCACGGATGTGCGCTAGACTAGCCGACACCGCCACTCTGTTCCGCGTTGACGAGGAGGAAGATAAGACCACACTGAGGAAGTACATACGAAAGGTCGTTAGATCCAAAGGTAGGTCAATACAGCAAGTGAGTGATGGATTTTCTGTTTGTCAGTCTTTTGCAACAAATTTTCAGCACTATCATGGCGATAGTAATTAGAATAAAAGTCGAAGTGGGCGCGTCCCCGTGGTCCCCAACAACTTATGCTCGTCGTAAGAGGCGACTTAATGGATCGGGTGGGCAGGTTCGGTAACTTGGTTGATAGCGTGCTCTCGTACCCCGTCGGCGTGGATTGTTGTTCACAATATCGATCACTGGAAAGTCTGGTCCAGACTCATTTATTTACAGGCCGCTGTTATACAGATGGAATATTAACAACTTCGAAACAAAGTGAACATAAGTCATGCATACCACGTACGTGAAATACATATGTACTGGAGACAGCGGGAAATCAGCGGACACCACTATGTCACCAGCTAGAGCCCGGGAGGGACGGTATCAAGGCTTAGTGTTGTCAAATGTCATGGTCATACATGAAACATATTTTGTAATTAATCGCTTCTTATTTATCTGTTTTATATATATATATATATTTATATTCATTTATTCATTTATGCGTATTTGTGTGAGTGAGTGAATATTATGAATGGAAGTGGGAATGAGAGTATTAAGTAAATACAGAAAACAGGATCAAAAAGTAAAAAGGAAGGTCAACACTTCAATTTACAGCACTGAAAGGACACTCAAAATGTATACATCAGCAATAGATAAACATAAATCTGTGTATTAGATTTCTAAAGAGTGATATCACTTTAACAATCTTCGCTCAGATGATTAATTAAATACTTAACTTTCAGTTGAAGGCGTCAGAACATTTCCAATTTGAAAAATAAGGGTACACATTCAACTTCATTCTATTTTTATGGCACTTCTTACAGGTCACAAAAAAATGGATTCGGAAGATGAAGCGTGACAGATAAGGCAGTCATGCGCAAACCTATTAGAAATTGTGAAATGGATATTTCTCTTCCTTGTTATGCGTAACTTTTTTCTATCAACAATACGTGTAAAACAGAAACGGTATATGACCCTTTTCATTCAGTGGTTTGGTTAAAACACTGAATTAATTCAAAGAAAGTGTAAAATCAATCAAAATGTAATTCTCATGACAGGAAGAAAACATAGACGAAGCCAGGGCAAGAAACGTGGACGTGCGTCAAGTGAATGTCTTATATGCATGTGAATACTTGGTTTACTTGACTGCATGCACATGAGCACAATGAAGGACTTATTATCATTATTCGTTAAAGATTCCACTCATCTGATTGACTAGCCAGCGTCTTCGAAATTGCCGTACATGTCGGCTGGCTGGTGTGAACCCGACATCATAACGTCACGTGCTTGTCACGTCACATTAGACCCAGTTCACACTTCGACTTACAATGCCGAATGTCCGATGGCGGAGATATATTAAAACGCCAAAAAGTTTAAACGCAATAAGTCTTATAGCTTGTTGACTTGTAAGGGACATATTCGTTGCATGTGCCATTAGCGCAATGGCGGCTTTCTACTACCTTAGCCTTCGTGACAAGCGCATTCTGTTTTAAAAATCTCGAATATCCAACGTATGGATGTGACTCACATTGTTTGTGTTACAAGACAAACATGGCGTGTAAATAAATCATCGAAAGTTTTGAAACGTGAAATTCAAGTTATTGGAACAACTCAAGTTACCAAAACCCTCCAAAATGCACGAACTCGAGAAAGGTAATTATTATCAATAATTCATAATATATACCTTTCATGATATGAGGAAAGCGCGGGCGAAGTCGTGCATTGTCCAATGAATGTACTAAAGCTATCATAGTTAATGTTCCTTGACGAAACGAAACCTCCACAAATTCAATAACTATCACATTCAAGGTATCTGAAGAACCCAGGTTAACGTAACCCTCTAATGTGCATGAAATGTTGAAAGATATATTATTTGAAGAAATGAACAAAAAATGAATAATTCGAGAACATATACTTTCATAATAGGAGGAAAGCGTAGGCGAAGTCGAGGCAAGAAACGTGGACGTGAGTCAAACTTGCAAGTCTTATATGCATGTGAAGATTTTAGTTTTCTAGACTGCGTGTAAGGATAATGGTCAGAAGAATGTTTTACTATATTCCTTGATGAAAAAGAAATGCGAACTAACCTGTATAACATTCTTTTAAAACTCAATGAGACGTTCTCTGAAGAACTGAAGTTAACCCTGGAATATGCATGGAATGGTGAAAGGTATCATCTATTATGAAATGAAACAATTATGAATAATTCGAGAACATATACCTTTCATAATAGGAGGAAAGCGTAGGCGAAGTCGTGGCAAGAAACGTGGACGTGAGTCAAGATTATGTCTTATACGCATGTGAAGATTTTAGTTTTCTAGATTGCGTGTAAGGATAATGGTCAGAAGAAACAATTATTTTATTCCTTGATGAACAGAAAATACGAACTAACGTTTGAATCATTCATTTAAAACTCTATAAAACGTTCTCTGAAGAACTGAAGTTAACCATGGAATATGCATGGAATGGTGAAAGCTATCATCTATTATGAAATGAAAAAATTATGAATAATTCGAGAACATATACCTTTCAAAATAGGAGGAAAGCGTAGGCGAAGTCGAGGCAAGAAACGTGGACGTGAGTCAAACTTGCAAGTCTTATATGCATGTGAAGATTTTAGTTTTCTAGACTGCGTGTAAGGATAATGGTCAGAAGAATGTTTTACTATATTCCTTGATGAAAAAGAAATGCGAACTAACCTGTATAACATTCTTTTAAAACTCAATGAGACGTTCTCTGAAGAACTGAAGTTAACCCTGGAATATGCATGGAATGGTGAAAGGTATCATCTATTATGAAATGAAAAAATTATGAATAATTCGAGAACATATACCTTTCATAATAGGAGGAAAGCGTAGGCGAAGTCGTGGCAAGAAACGTGGACGTGAGTCAAGATTATGTCTTATACGCATGTGAAGATTTTAGTTTTCTAGATTGCGTGTAAGGATAATGGTCAGAAGAAACAATTATTTTATTCCTTGATGAACAGAAAATACGAACTAACGTTTGAATCATTCATTTAAAACTCTATAAAACGTTCTCTGAAGAACTGAAGTTAACCATGGAATATGCATGGAATGGTGAAAGCTATCATCTATTATGAAATGAAAAAATTATGAATAATTCGAGAACATATACCTTTCAAAATAGGAGGAAAGCGTAGGCGAAGTCGTGGCAAGAAACGTGGACGTGAGTCAAGATTATGTCTTATACGCATGTGGAGATTTTAGTTTTCTAGACTGCGTGTAAGGATAATGGTCAAAAGAAACAAATATTTTATTCCTTGATGAGAAAGAAATACGACCTTACCTTTGAATCAGTTTTTAAAAAGCGTATAAAACGTTTTTTAAAGAACTGAAGTTAACCCTGGAATATTCATGGAATGGTGAAAGGTATCATCTATTATGAAATGAAACAATCATGAATAATTCGAAAACATATATCTTTCAAAATAGGAGGAAAGCGTAGGCGAAGTCGTGGCAAGAAACGTGGACGTGAGTCAAGATTATGTCTTATACGCATGTTAAGATTTTAGTTTTCTAGATTGCGTGTAAAGATAATGGTCAGAAGAAAAACATAATTTATTCCTTGATGAAAAAGGAATACGAACTAACCTTTGAATCATTCTTTTAAAACTCTATGAAACGTTCTCTGAAGAACTGAAGTTAACCCTGGAATATGCATGGAATGGTGAAAGGTATCATCTATTATGAAGTGAAAAAATTATGAATAATTCGAGAACATATACCTTTCAAAATAGGAGGAAAACGTAGGCGAAGTCGTGGCAAGAAACGTGGACGTGAGTCAAGATTATGTCTTATACGCATGTGAATATTTTAGTGTTCTAGACTGCGTGTAAGGATAATGGTCAAAAGAAACAAATATTTTATTCCTTGATGAGAAAGAAATACGAACTTACCTTTGAATCAGTTTTTTAAAAGCGTATAAAACGTTTTTTAAAGAACTGAAGTTAACCCTGGAATATGCATGGAATGGTAAAAGGTATCATCTATTTTGAAATGAAACAATTATGAATAATTCGAGAACATATATCTTTCAAAATAGGAGGAAAGCGTAGGCGAAGTCGTGGCAAGAAACGTGGACGTGAGTCAAGATTATGTCTTATACGCATGTGAAGATTTTAGTTTTCTAGATTGCGTGTAAAGATAATGGTCAGAAGAAAAACATAATTTATTCCTTGATGAAAAAGGAATACGAACTAACCTTTGAATCATTCTTTTAAAACTCTATGAAACGTTCTCTGAAGAACTGAAGTTAACCCTGGAATATGCATGGAATGGTAAAAGGTATCATCTATTTTGAAATGAAACAATTATGAATAATTCGAGAACATATATCTTTCAAAATAGGAGGAAAGCGTAGGCGAAGTCGTGGCAAGAAACGTGGACGTGAGTCAACATTATGTCTTATACGCATGTGAAGATTTTAGTTTTCTAGACTACGTTTAAAAGAAATACGAACTAACTTTTGAAACATTCATTTAAATCACTATAAAACGTTCTCTGAAGAACTGAAGTTAACCCTGGAATAAGCATGGAATGGTGAAAGGTATCATATATTATGAAATGAAAAAATTATGAATAAATCGAGAACATATACCTTTCAAAATAGGAGGAAAGCGTAGGCGAAGTCGTGGCAAGAAACGTGGACGTGAGTCAAGATTTTGTCTTATACGCATGTGAATATTTTAGTTTTCTAGACTGCGTGTAAGGATAATGGTCAAAAGAAACAAATATTTTATTCCTTGATGAGAAAGAAATACGACCTTACCTTTGAATCAGTTTTTAAAAAGCGTATAAAACGTTTTTTAAAGAACTGAAGTTAACCCTGGAATATTCATGGAATGGTGAAAGGTATCATCTATTATGAAATGAAACAATCATGAATAATTCGAAAACATATATCTTTCAAAATAGGAGGAAAGCGTAGGCGAAGTCGTGGCAAGAAACGTGGACGTGAGTCAAGATTATGTCTTATACGCATGTTAAGATTTTAGTTTTCTAGATTGCGTGTAAAGATAATGGTCAGAAGAAAAACATAATTTATTCCTTGATGAAAAAGGAATACGAACTAACCTTTGAATCATTCTTTTAAAACTCTATGAAACGTTCTCTGAAGAACTGAAGTTAACCCTGGAATATGCATGGAATGGTGAAAGGTATCATCTATTATGAAGTGAAAAAATTATGAATAATTCGAGAACATATACCTTTCAAAATAGGAGGAAAACGTAGGCGAAGTCGTGGCAAGAAACGTGGACGTGAGTCAAGATTATGTCTTATACGCATGTGAATATTTTAGTGTTCTAGACTGCGTGTAAGGATAATGGTCAAAAGAAACAAATATTTTATTCCTTGATGAGAAAGAAATACGAACTTACCTTTGAATCAGTTTTTTAAAAGCGTATAAAACGTTTTTTAAAGAACTGAAGTTAACCCTGGAATATGCATGGAATGGTAAAAGGTATCATCTATTTTGAAATGAAACAATTATGAATAATTCGAGAACATATATCTTTCAAAATAGGAGGAAAGCGTAGGCGAAGTCGTGGCAAGAAACGTGGACGTGAGTCAAGATTATGTCTTATACGCATGTGAAGATTTTAGTTTTCTAGATTGCGTGTAAAGATAATGGTCAGAAGAAAAACATAATTTATTCCTTGATGAAAAAGGAATACGAACTAACCTTTGAATCATTCTTTTAAAACTCTATGAAACGTTCTCTGAAGAACTGAAGTTAACCCTGGAATATGCATGGAATGGTAAAAGGTATCATCTATTTTGAAATGAAACAATTATGAATAATTCGAGAACATATATCTTTCAAAATAGGAGGAAAGCGTAGGCGAAGTCGTGGCAAGAAACGTGGACGTGAGTCAACATTATGTCTTATACGCATGTGAAGATTTTAGTTTTCTAGACTACGTTTAAAAGAAATACGAACTAACTTTTGAAACATTCATTTAAATCACTATAAAACGTTCTCTGAAGAACTGAAGTTAACCCTGGAATAAGCATGGAATGGTGAAAGGTATCATATATTATGAAATGAAAAAATTATGAATAAATCGAGAACATATACCTTTCAAAATAGGAGGAAAGCGTAGGCGAAGTCGTGGCAAGAAACGTGGACGTGAGTCAAGATTTTGTCTTATACGCATGTGAATATTTTAGTTTTCTAGACTGCGTGTAAGGATAATGGTCAAAAGAAACAAATATTTTATTCCTTGATGAGAAAGAAATACGAACTTACCTTTGAATCAGTTTTTTAAAAGCGTATAAAACGTTTTTTAAAGAATTGAAGTTAACCCTGGAATATGCATGGAATGGTAAAAGGTATCATCTATTTTGAAATGAAACAATTATGAATAATTCGAGAACATATATCTTTCAAAATAGGAGGAAAGCGTAGGCGAAGTCGTGGCAAGAAACGTGGACGTGAGTCAAAATTATGTCTTACACGCATGTGAAGATTTTAGTTTTCTAGATTGCGTGTAAAGATAATGGTCAGAAGAAAAACATAATTTATTCCTTGATGAAAAAGGAATACGAACTAACCTTTGAATCATTCTTTTAAAACTCTATGAAACGTTCTCTGAAGAACTGAAGTTAACCCTGGAATATGCATGGAATGGTAAAAGGTATCATCTATTTTGAAATGAAACAATTATGAATAATTCGAGAACATATATCTTTCAAAATAGGAGGAAAGCGTAGGCGAAGTCGTGGCAAGAAACGTGGACGTGAGTCAACATTATGTCTTATACGCATGTGAAGATTTTAGTTTCCTGGTCTGCGTGTGAGGATAATAGCCAGAAGAATGTTTTACTATATTCCTTGATGAAAAAGGAATACGAACTGATTTTTTAATCATTTTTTATAACTTAATGAAACGTTCTCTAAACAACTGAAGTTAACACTAGACTATGCATGGAATGGTGAAAGGTATCATCTATTATTAAATGAAACAATTATGAATAATTCGAGAACATATACCTTTCATAATAGGAGGAAAGCGTAGGCGAAGTCGTGGCAAGAAACGTGGACGTGAGTCAAAATTATGTCTTATACGCATGTGAAGATTTTAGTTTTCTAGATTGCGTGTAAGGATAATGGTCAGAAGAAACAATTATTTTATTCCTTGATGAACAGAAAATACGAACTAACGTTTGAATCAGTTTTTTAAAAGCGTATAAAACGTTTTTTAAAGAACTGAAGTTAACCCTGGAAAATGCATGGAATGGTAAAAGGTATCATCTATTTTGAAATGAAACAATTATGAATAATTCGAGAACATATATCTTTCAAAATAGGAGGAAAGCGTAGGCGAAGTCGTGGCAAGAAACGTGGACGTGAGTCAAGATTATGTCTTATACGCATGTGAAGATTTTAGTTTTCTAGATTGCGTGTAAAGATAATGGTCAGAAGAAAAACATAATTTATTCCTTGATGAAAAAGGAATACGAACTAACCTTTGAATCATTCTTTTAAAACTCTATGAAACGTTCTCTGAAGAACTGAAGTTAACCCTGGAATATGCATGGAATGGTAAAAGGTATCATCTATTATGAAATGAAACAATTATGAATAATTCGAGAACATATACCTTTCATAATAGGAGGAAAGCGTAGGCGAAGTCGTGGCAAGAAACGTGGACGTGAGTCAAGATTATGTCTTATACGCATGTGAAGATTTTAGTTTTCTAGATTGCGTGTAAGGATAATGGTCAGAAGAAACAATTATTTTATTCCTTGATGAACAGAAAATACGAACTAACGTTTGAATCATTCATTTAAAACTCTATAAAACGTTCTCTGAAGAACTGAAGTTAACCATGGAATATGCATGGAATGGTGAAAGCTATCATCTATTATGAAATGAAAAAATTATGAATAATTCGAGAACATATACCTTTCAAAATAGGAGGAAAGCGTAGGCGAAGTCGTGGCAAGAAACGTGGACGTGAGTCAAGATTATGTCTTATACGCATGTGGAGATTTTAGTTTTCTAGACTGCGTGTAAGGATAATGGTCAAAAGAAACAAATATTTTATTCCTTGATGAGAAAGAAATACGACCTTACCTTTGAATCAGTTTTTAAAAAGCGTATAAAACGTTTTTTAAAGAACTGAAGTTAACCCTGGAATATTCATGGAATGGTGAAAGGTATCATCTATTATGAAATGAAACAATCATGAATAATTCGAAAACATATATCTTTCAAAATAGGAGGAAAGCGTAGGCGAAGTCGTGGCAAGAAACGTGGACGTGAGTCAAGATTATGTCTTATACGCATGTTAAGATTTTAGTTTTCTAGATTGCGTGTAAAGATAATGGTCAGAAGAAAAACATAATTTATTCCTTGATGAAAAAGGAATACGAACTAACCTTTGAATCATTCTTTTAAAACTCTATGAAACGTTCTCTGAAGAACTGAAGTTAACCCTGGAATATGCATGGAATGGTGAAAGGTATCATCTATTATGAAGTGAAAAAATTATGAATAATTCGAGAACATATACCTTTCAAAATAGGAGGAAAACGTAGGCGAAGTCGTGGCAAGAAACGTGGACGTGAGTCAAGATTATGTCTTATACGCATGTGAATATTTTAGTGTTCTAGACTGCGTGTAAGGATAATGGTCAAAAGAAACAAATATTTTATTCCTTGATGAGAAAGAAATACGAACTTACCTTTGAATCAGTTTTTTAAAAGCGTATAAAACGTTTTTTAAAGAACTGAAGTTAACCCTGGAATATGCATGGAATGGTAAAAGGTATCATCTATTTTGAAATGAAACAATTATGAATAATTCGAGAACATATATCTTTCAAAATAGGAGGAAAGCGTAGGCGAAGTCGTGGCAAGAAACGTGGACGTGAGTCAAGATTATGTCTTATACGCATGTGAAGATTTTAGTTTTCTAGATTGCGTGTAAGGATAATGGTCAGAAGAAAAACATAATTTATTCCTTGATGAAAAAGGAATACGAACTAACCTTTGAATCATTCTTTTAAAACTCTATGAAACGTTCTCTGAAGAACTGAAGTTAACCCTGGAATATGCATGGAATGGTAAAAGGTATCATCTATTATGAAATGAAACAATTATGAATAATTCGAGAACATATACCTTTCATAATAGGAGGAAAGCGTAGGCGAAGTCGTGGCAAGAAACGTGGACGTGAGTCAAGATTATGTCTTATACGCATGTGAAGATTTTAGTTTTCTAGATTGCGTGTAAGGATAATGGTCAGAAGAAACAATTATTTTATTCCTTGATGAACAGAAAATACGAACTAACGTTTGAATCATTCATTTAAAACTCTATAAAACGTTCTCTGAAGAACTGAAGTTAACCATGGAATATGCATGGAATGGTGAAAGCTATCATCTATTATGAAATGAAAAAATTATGAATAATTCGAGAACATATACCTTTCAAAATAGGAGGAAAGCGTAGGCGAAGTCGTGGCAAGAAACGTGGACGTGAGTCAAGATTATGTCTTATACGCATGTGGAGATTTTAGTTTTCTAGACTGCGTGTAAGGATAATGGTCAAAAGAAACAAATATTTTATTCCTTGATGAGAAAGAAATACGACCTTACCTTTGAATCAGTTTTTAAAAAGCGTATAAAACGTTTTTTAAAGAACTGAAGTTAACCCTGGAATATTCATGGAATGGTGAAAGGTATCATCTATTATGAAATGAAACAATCATGAATAATTCGAAAACATATATCTTTCAAAATAGGAGGAAAGCGTAGGCGAAGTCGTGGCAAGAAACGTGGACGTGAGTCAAGATTATGTCTTATACGCATGTTAAGATTTTAGTTTTCTAGATTGCGTGTAAAGATAATGGTCAGAAGAAAAACATAATTTATTCCTTGATGAAAAAGGAATACGAACTAACCTTTGAATCATTCTTTTAAAACTCTATGAAACGTTCTCTGAAGAACTGAAGTTAACCCTGGAATATGCATGGAATGGTGAAAGGTATCATCTATTATGAAGTGAAAAAATTATGAATAATTCGAGAACATATACCTTTCAAAATAGGAGGAAAACGTAGGCGAAGTCGTGGCAAGAAACGTGGACGTGAGTCAAGATTATGTCTTATACGCATGTGAATATTTTAGTGTTCTAGACTGCGTGTAAGGATAATGGTCAAAAGAAACAAATATTTTATTCCTTGATGAGAAAGAAATACGAACTTACCTTTGAATCAGTTTTTTAAAAGCGTATAAAACGTTTTTTAAAGAACTGAAGTTAACCCTGGAATATGCATGGAATGGTAAAAGGTATCATCTATTTTGAAATGAAACAATTATGAATAATTCGAGAACATATATCTTTCAAAATAGGAGGAAAGCGTAGGCGAAGTCGTGGCAAGAAACGTGGACGTGAGTCAAGATTATGTCTTATACGCATGTGAAGATTTTAGTTTTCTAGATTGCGTGTAAAGATAATGGTCAGAAGAAAAACATAATTTATTCCTTGATGAAAAAGGAATACGAACTAACCTTTGAATCATTCTTTTAAAACTCTATGAAACGTTCTCTGAAGAACTGAAGTTAACCCTGGAATATGCATGGAATGGTAAAAGGTATCATCTATTTTGAAATGAAACAATTATGAATAATTCGAGAACATATATCTTTCAAAATAGGAGGAAAGCGTAGGCGAAGTCGTGGCAAGAAACGTGGACGTGAGTCAACATTATGTCTTATACGCATGTGAAGATTTTAGTTTTCTAGACTACGTTTAAAAGAAATACGAACTAACTTTTGAAACATTCATTTAAATCACTATGAAACGTTCTCTGAAGAACTGAAGTTAACCCTGGAATAAGCATGGAATGGTGAAAGGTATCATATATTATGAAATGAAAAAATTATGAATAAATCGAGAACATATACCTTTCAAAATAGGAGGAAAGCGTAGGCGAAGTCGTGGCAAGAAACGTGGACGTGAGTCAAGATTATGTCTTATACGCATGTGAATATTTTAGTTTTCTAGACTGCGTGTAAGGATAATGGTCAAAAGAAACAAATATTTTATTCCTTGATGAGAAAGAAATACGAACTTACCTTTGAATCAGTTTTTTAAAAGCGTATAAAACGTTTTTTAAAGAATTGAAGTTAACCCTGGAATATGCATGGAATGGTAAAAGGTATCATCTATTTTGAAATGAAACAATTATGAATAATTCGAGAACATATATCTTTCAAAATAGGAGGAAAGCGTAGGCGAAGTCGTGGCAAGAAACGTGGACGTGAGTCAAAATTATGTCTTACACGCATGTGAAGATTTTAGTTTTCTAGATTGCGTGTAAAGATAATGGTCAGAAGAAAAACATAATTTATTCCTTGATGAAAAAGGAATACGAACTAACCTTTGAATCATTCTTTTAAAACTCTATGAAACGTTCTCTGAAGAACTGAAGTTAACCCTGGAATATGCATGGAATGGTAAAAGGTATCATCTATTTTGAAATGAAACAATTATGAATAATTCGAGAACATATATCTTTCAAAATAGGAGGAAAGCGTAGGCGAAGTCGTGGCAAGAAACGTGGACGTGAGTCAACATTATGTCTTATACGCATGTGAAGATTTTAGTTTTCTAGACTACGTTTAAAAGAAATACGAACTAACTTTTGAAACATTCATTTAAATCACTATAAAATGTTCTCTGAAGAACTGAAGTTAACCCTGGAATAAGCATGGAATGGTGAAAGGTATCATATATTATATAATGAAAAAATTATGAATAAATCGAGAACATATACCTTTCAAAATAGGAGGAAAGCGTAGGCGAAGTCGTGGCAAGAAACGTGGACGTGAGTCAAGATTATGTCTTATACGCATGTGAAGATTTTAGTTTCCTGGTCTGCGTGTGAGGATAATAGCCAGAAGAATGTTTTACTATATTCCTTGATGAAAAAGGAATACGAACTGATTTTTTAATCATTTTTTATAACTTAATGAAACGTTCTCTAAACAACTGAAGTTAACACTAGACTATGCATGGAATGGTGAAAGGTATCATCTATTATTAAATGAAACAATTATGAATAATTCGAGAACATATACCTTTCATAATAGGAGGAAAGCGTAGGCGAAGTCGTGGCAAGAAACGTGGACGTGAGTCAAAATTATGTCTTATACGCATGTGAAGATTTTAATTTTCTAGACTACGTTTAAAAGAAATACGAACTAACTTTTGAAACATTCATTTAAATCACTATAAAATGTTCTCTGAAAAACTGAAGTTAACCCTGGAATATGCATGGAATGGTGAAAGCTATCATCTATTATGAAATGAAACAATTATGAATAATTCGAGAACATATACCTTTCATAATAGGAGGAAAGCGTAGGCGAAGTCGTGGCAAGAAACGTGGACGTGAGTCAAAATTATGTCTTATACGCATGTTAAGATTTTAGTTTTCTAGATTGCGTGTAAAGATAATGGTCAGAAGAAAAACATAATTTATTCCTTGATGAAAAAGGAATACGAACTAACCTTTGAATCATTCTTTTAAAACTCTATGAAACGTTCTCTGAAGAACTGAAGTTAACCCTGGAATATGCATGGAATGGTGAAAGGTATCATCTATTATGAAGTGAAAAAATTATGAATAATTCGAGAACATATACCTTTCAAAATAGGAGGAAAACGTAGGCGAAGTCGTGGCAAGAAACGTGGACGTGAGTCAAGATTATGTCTTATACGCATGTGAATATTTTAGTGTTCTAGACTGCGTGTAAGGATAATGGTCAAAAGAAACAAATATTTTATTCCTTGATGAGAAAGAAATACGAACTTACCTTTGAATCAGTTTTTTAAAAGCGTATAAAACGTTTTTTAAAGAACTGAAGTTAACCCTGGAATATGCATGGAATGGTAAAAGGTATCATCTATTTTGAAATGAAACAATTATGAATAATTCGAGAACATATATCTTTCAAAATAGGAGGAAAGCGTAGGCGAAGTCGTGGCAAGAAACGTGGACGTGAGTCAAGATTATGTCTTATACGCATGTGAAGATTTTAGTTTTCTAGATTGCGTGTAAAGATAATGGTCAGAAGAAAAACATAATTTATTCCTTGATGAAAAAGGAATACGAACTAACCTTTGAATCATTCTTTTAAAACTCTATGAAACGTTCTCTGAAGAACTGAAGTTAACCCTGGAATATGCATGGAATGGTAAAAGGTATCATCTATTTTGAAATGAAACAATTATGAATAATTCGAGAACATATATCTTTCAAAATAGGAGGAAAGCGTAGGCGAAGTCGTGGCAAGAAACGTGGACGTAAGTCAACATTATGTCTTATACGCATGTGAAGATTTTAGTTTTCTAGACTACGTTTAAAAGAAATACGAACTAACTTTTGAAACATTCATTTAAATCACTATAAAACGTTCTCTGAAGAACTGAAGTTAACCCTGGAATAAGCATGGAATGGTGAAAGGTATCATATATTATGAAATGAAAAAATTATGAATAATTCGAGAACATATACCTTTCAAAATAGGAGGAAAGCGTAGGCGAAGTCGTGGCAAGAAACGTGGACGTGAGTCAAGATTATGTCTTATACGCATGTGAAGATTTTAGTTTCCTGGTCTGCGTGTGAGGATAATAGCCAGAAGAATGTTTTACTATATTCCTTGATGAAAAAGGAATACGAACTGATTTTTTAATCATTTTTTATAACTTAATGAAACGTTCTCTAAACAACTGAAGTTAACACTAGACTATGCATGGAATGGTGAAAGGTATCATCTATTATTAAATGAAACAATTATGAATAATTCGAGAACATATACCTTTCATAATAGGAGGAAAGCGTAGGCGAAGTCGTGGCAAGAAACGTGGACGTGAGTCAAAATTATGTCTTATACGCATGTGAAGATTTTAATTTTCTAGACTACGTTTAAAAGAAATACGAACTAACTTTTGAAACATTCATTTAAATCACTATAAAATGTTCTCTGAAAAACTGAAGTTAACCCTGGAATATGCATGGAATGGTGAAAGCTATCATCTATTATGAAATGAAACAATTATGAATAATTCGAGAACATATACCTTTCATAATAGGAGGAAAGCGTAGGCGAAGTCGTGGCAAGAAACGTGGACGTGAGTCAAAATTATGTCTTATACGCATGTGAAGATTTTAGTTTTCTGGTCTGCGTGTGAGGATAATGGCCAGAAGAATGTTTTACTATATTCCTTGATGAAAAAGGAATACGAACTGATTTTTTAATCATTTTTTAAAAACTTTATGAAACGTTCTCTAAACAACTGAAGTTAACCCTAGAATATGCATGGAATGGTGAAAGGTATCATATATTATGAAATGAAACAATTATGAACAATTCGAGATCATATACCTTTTATAATAGGAGGAAAGCGTAGGCGAAGTCGTGGCAAGAAACGTGGACGTGAGTCAAGATTATGTCTTATACGCATGTGAAGATTTTAATTTTCTAGACTGCGTGTAAGGATAATGGTCAGAAGATATATTCATTTTTTATTCCTTAATGAAAAAGAAATACGAACTCACTTTTGAAACATTCATTTAAATCTCTATAAAATGTTCTCTGAAGAACTTATTTTAACCCTGGAATATGCATGGAATGGTGAAAGGTATCATCTATTATGAAATGAAACAATTATGAATAATTCGAGAACATATACCTTTCATAATAGGAGGAAAGCGTAGGCGAAGTCGTGGCAAGAAACGTGGACGTGAGTCAAGATTATGTCTTATACGCATGTGAAGATTTTAATTTTCTAGACTACGTGTAAGAATAATGGTCACATGAATGCTTAACTATATTCCTTGATGAAAAAGGAATATGAACGGACCTTTGAATCATTTTTTTGAAAGTCTATCAAATGTTTTCCAAAGAAATGAATTTAACCCTGGAATATGCATGGAATGGTGAAAGGTATCATATATTATGAAAAGAAACAATTATGAATAATTCGAGAACATATATCTTTAAAAATAGGAGGAAAGCGTAGGCGAAGTCGTGGAAAGAAACGTGGACGTGAGTCAAGATTATGTCTAATACGCATGTAAAGATTTTAGTTTTCTACACTACGTTTAAAAGAAATACGAACTAACTTTTGAAACATTCTTTTAAATCTCTATAAAATGTTCTCTGAAGAACTGAAGTTAACCCTGGAATATGCATGGAATGGTGAAAGGTATCATCTATTATAAAATGAAATAATTATGAATAATTCGACAACATATACCTTTCATGATAGGAGGAAAGCGTAGGCGAAGTCGTGGAAAGAAACGTGGACGTGAGTCAAGATTATGTCTAATACGCATGTGAAGATTTTAATTTTCTAGGCTGCGTGTGAGGATATTGGTCAGAAGAATGTTTTACTATATTCCTTGATGAAAAAGGAATAGGAACTGACCTTTGAATCATTTAAAAAAACACCCTATATAACGTTCTCTGAAGAACTGATTTTAACCCTGGAATATGCATGGAATGGTGAAAGGTATCATATATTATGAAATGAAACAATTATGAATAATTCGAGAACATATACCTTTCATAATAGGAGGAAAGCGTAGGCGAAGTCGTGGCAAGAAACGTGGACGTGAGTCAAGATTATGTCTTATACGCATGTGAAGATTTTAATTTTCTAGACTGCGTGTAAGGATAATGGTCAGAAGATATATTCATTTAATTCCTTAATGAAAAAGAAATACGAACTCACTTTTGAAACATTCATTTAAATTTCTATAAAAAGTTCTCTGAAGAACTGAAGTTAACCATGGAATATGCATGGAATGGTGAAAGGTATCATCTATTATGAAATGAAACAATTATGAATAATTCGAGAACATATACCTTTCATAATAGGAGGAAAGCGTAGGCGAAGTCGTGGCAAGAAACGTGGACGTGAGTCAAAATTATGTCTTATACGCATGTGAAGATTTTAATTTTCTAGACTACGTTTAAAAGAAATACGAACTAACTTTTGAAACATTCATTTAAATCACTATAAAATGTTCTCTGAAAAACTGAAGTTAACCCTGGAATATGCATGGAATGGTGAAAGCTATCATCTATTATGAAATGAAACAATTATGAATAATTCGAGAACATATACCTTTCATAATAGGAGGAAAGCGTAGGCGAAGTCGTGGCAAGAAACGTGGACGTGAGTCAAAATTATGTCTTATACGCATGTGAAGATTTTAGTTTTCTGGTCTGCGTGTGAGGATAATGGCCAGAAGAATGTTTTACTATATTCCTTGATGAAAAAGGAATACGAACTGATTTTTTAATCATTTTTTAAAAACTTTATGAAACGTTCTCTAAACAACTGAAGTTAACCCTAGAATATGCATGGAATGGTGAAAGGTATCATATATTATGAAATGAAACAATTATGAACAATTCGAGATCATATACCTTTTATAATAGGAGGAAAGCGTAGGCGAAGTCGTGGCAAGAAACGTGGACGTGAGTCAAGATTATGTCTTATACGCATGTGAAGATTTTAATTTTCTAGACTGCGTGTAAGGATAATGGTCAGAAGATATATTCATTTTTTATTCCTTAATGAAAAAGAAATACGAACTCACTTTTGAAACATTCATTTAAATCTCTATAAAATGTTCTCTGAAGAACTTATTTTAACCCTGGAATATGCATGGAATGGTGAAAGGTATCATCTATTATGAAATGAAACAATTATGAATAATTCGAGAACATATACCTTTCATAATAGGAGGAAAGCGTAGGCGAAGTCGTGGCAAGAAACGTGGACGTGAGTCAAGATTATGTCTTATACGCATGTGAAGATTTTAATTTTCTAGACTACGTGTAAGAATAATGGTCACATGAATGCTTAACTATATTCCTTGATGAAAAAGGAATATGAACGGACCTTTGAATCATTTTTTTGAAAGTCTATCAAATGTTTTCCAAAGAAATGAATTTAACCCTGGAATATGCATGGAATGGTGAAAGGTATCATATATTATGAAAAGAAACAATTATGAATAATTCGAGAACATATATCTTTAAAAATAGGAGGAAAGCGTAGGCGAAGTCGTGGAAAGAAACGTGGACGTGAGTCAAGATTATGTCTAATACGCATGTAAAGATTTTAGTTTTCTACACTACGTTTAAAAGAAATACGAACTAACTTTTGAAACATTCTTTTAAATCTCTATAAAATGTTCTCTGAAGAACTGAAGTTAACCCTGGAATATGCATGGAATGGTGAAAGGTATCATATATTATAAAATGAAATAATTATGAATAATTCGACAACATATACCTTTCATGATAGGAGGAAAGCGTAGGCGAAGTCGTGGAAAGAAACGTGGACGTGAGTCAAGATTATGTCTAATACGCATGTGAAGATTTTAATTTTCTAGGCTGCGTGTGAGGATATTGGTCAGAAGAATGTTTTACTATATTCCTTGATGAAAAAGGAATAGGAACTGACCTTTGAATCATTTAAAAAAACACCCTATATAACGTTCTCTGAAGAACTGATTTTAACCCTGGAATATGCATGGAATGGTGAAAGGTATCATATATTATGAAATGAAACAATTATGAATAATTCGAGAACATATACCTTTCATAATAGGAGGAAAGCGTAGGCGAAGTCGTGGCAAGAAACGTGGACGTGAGTCAAGATTATGTCTTATACGCATGTGAAGATTTTAATTTTCTAGACTGCGTGTAAGGATAATGGTCAGAAGATATATTCATTTAATTCCTTAATGAAAAAGAAATACGAACTCACTTTTGAAACATTCATTTAAATTTCTATAAAAAGTTCTCTGAAGAACTGAAGTTAACCATGGAATATGCATGGAATGGTGAAAGGTATCATCTATTATGAAATGAAACAATTATGAATAATTCGAGAACATATACCTTTCATAATAGGAGGAAAGCGTAGGCGAAGTCGTGGCAAGAAACGTGGACGTGAGTCAAACTTATGTCTTATACGCATGTGGAGATTTTAGTTTTCTACACTACGTGTGTGGATGATGGCCAGAAGAATGTTTTACTAATGTATTCCTTGATGAAAAAGGAAAAGGAACTGACCTTTGAATCATTTTTTTAAAACTTTATGAAACGTTCTCTAAAGAACTGAAGTTAACCCTTGAATATGCATGGAATGGTGAAAGGTATCATCTATTATGGAATGAAACAATTATGAATAATTCGAGAACATATACCTTTCATAATAGGAGGAAAGCGTAGGCGAAGTCGTGGCAAGAAACGTGGACGTGAGTCAAGATTATGTCTTATACGCATGTGGAGATTTTAGTTTTCTAGACTACGTGTGAGGATGATGGTCAGAAGAATGTTTTACTAATGTATTCCTTGATGAAAAAGGAAAAGGAACTGACCTTTGAATCATTTAAAACAACACCTATATAACGTTCTGTGAAGCACTGATTTTAACCCTAGAATATGCATGGAATGGTGAAAGGTATCATCTATTATGAAATGAAAAATTATGAATAATTCGAGAACATATACCTTTCATAATAGGAGGAAAGCGTAGGCGAAGTCGTGGCAAGAAACGTGGACGTGAGTCAAGATTATGTCTTATACGCATGTGGAGATTTTAGTTTTCTAGACTACGTGTGAGGATGATGGTCAGAAGAATGTTTTACTAATGTATTCCTTGATGAAAAAGGAAAAGGAACTGACCTTTGAATCATTTAAAACAACACCTATATAACGTTCTGTGAAGCACTGATTTTAACCCTGGAATATGCATGGAATGGTGAAAGGTATCATCTATTATGAAATGAAAAATTATGAATAATTCGAGAACATATACCTTTCATAATAGGAGGAAAGCGTAGGCGAAGTCGTGGCAAGAAACGTGGACGTGAGTCAAGATTATGTCTTATACGCATGTGGAGATTTTAGTTTTCTAGACTACGTGTGAGGATGATGGTCAGAAGAATGTTTTACTAATGTATTCCTTGATGAAAAAGGAAAAGGAACTGACCTTTGAATCATTTAAAACAACACCTATATAACGTTCTGTGAAGCACTGATTTTAACCCTGGAATATGCATGGAATGGTGAAAGGTATCATCTATTATGAAATGAAAAATTATGAATAATTCGAGAACATATACCTTTCATAATAGGAGGAAAGCGTAGGCGAAGTCGTGGCAAGAAACGTGGACGTGAGTCAAAATTATGTCTTTTAAGCATGTGAAAGTATAAATGTACTAGATTGCGTGCCAGAATACAGAAGATCTTGTATTTTATGTTTTAATCTAGACATGCAAACATGATTGTAAAACGGAATGAATACATTTCGTTTGTTTACTGTTTGGTATAAATACTGATGTAGCTTTAAGTAAACGTTATCTCAATCAATACTGGTAACTCTTATTAAAGGAGGAAAGCGTGGACGAAGCCGTGGCAGGAAACGTGGATATGTGTCAAGTGAATGTCTTAAATGCATGCGAAAACTCTGGTGTTCTAATATTTAAGAAATTAATGTTTTGGCTGCCGTAAAACGACCTTTGAAGGTTTCCTTAGAATTAATGTTACATGAGCAAAACATAGGGTTATTTTAGAAATAAGCAATCAATACCTGCGTAACGAATCTTAAGCGCGATGCAACTTAGAACATGAATAAATGTAGTATTTGTTTTGTAAAATATACCTTCATAACAGGAGGAAAACGTCGACGAGAACGAGGCAAGAAACGTCGACGTAAGTCAAAGTATTGCATGATCGTTATTGCATGGATGAAAAGAAGCATAACTGTTTTAAGTCTGTTTCTTGTTTTGCGTAATACCTTTAAATACAAAAAGGTGAAAGGCCGTGACAAAAATTGGTGAAAGGAGGTGAAAAAGTATTGTGAATGTGTTGAGAAGAATGTGAACAGTAGAGAAGAAATTGATTTGAAATTTTATCTTTGGAGATTAAAATAAAAAATGTCGTATCAAACTCAAGTTCTTCCGTAATAAGTATTTATGATGATAATACCTATAATATAATGCATGAAATAAACGCTCAAAGACAACCCATTAGATAATACCCGATGGGTCACTACAAGAAATTGGTAAAGTGGAGTTATCACTCTGATATTATATATAATCAGCATGATGGTACTTATTGTTACATATGCCGCTGCCAGGTCGACGTAAAGGCAGGCGCTGTGAGTTTTATTTCATTATTGAAGACAGTACTATTGAAGTAACTCCAGTAATAATTATTGCAAGATACAATGTGATAACGAAAGAACATGAGATGGTAATGCAACAACTGATGGCATGTAAATATGTGTCTAGTGTAACATGTGAATGTTAAGAAACTCGATCAATTGCTCTTTGTTTCGGTGGTAAAAATAAACCGTTTCTTCGAATTCAGCTAAGAGGAAGATTAAAACCTGGTTTGGTGAGTGATTCTGAATTGCGTTGCATGCCAGTTTGGAAGGCCTACACTATTGCATGGTCATGGTAATGGGGAGATTCTCTATGGATGTGACACTTGATGCTTAATGATACCATTGATCTGTTGCTACTTTTCACTGGACGTTACAAATATGTCGATGACAGGTTAACTAGCGATATTTTTGCCTTTACTACTTAATAACGTTTTTTATACTCAAAAACCCTTAGACCCGAGAACGTCCAGTTCATTTGTGGCAAAAATTACAGACACTGAAAATTGTTGTTTAGGCCCGCACAAAAGGCGGACAAATTTATTACAAGGTATATACACCTAAGCGTACAATTCATCAATCCGAAATTGTATGAAATAAGCCACAAAGGTGGGGGAAACAACGCATACACGCACATGACTAAGAAAAAGGAACCTAAATAGCGAGATAGAGAGGAGGAGGCTTGGGAGGAGGTGGTTTTAAGTTGCTAAAATGAGACAGGGCAAAACACGTCCGGAGCGGGCGGCTATCCAGGCGGAGATGCGCGTTAATCAGAAAGCTGACGTGGATGACGCTAACGTGGATGACGTCACCGTTACGTCATATCTTTTAAGTGACGTATTGATTCCCGCCATGAGGTGTAACCGGGCAGTGCGCATGAAGCGCAACTGGGTTTTTTCCCATAAAACAATTTTTTGAAATTTTTTGCATTTATAGAAGGGGCACGGGTGGCCTAGCCACCTTAAGGCGCCGCTATTCACTGTGCAGAGTTGTGTCACTTGGGCGCGCCAGAAACCTATGGTTAAGGGTTTGAATCCCGGTTCGCCCAAATAATGTTTCTATATTTGTCAGCACCATACCTGTACTAGTGATTTTCACCGAAGTGGTAAACGTCCGAGACTTTCTCCAACATGAGCTGGCAAGCCATGATATAACTGGAATGTTAAACCCAATTCACTCACTAACGTTTATCAAAACATGTAAGGACACTGACTGCAATTTTCTTGTAAACGATTTACGCAGATAATTAGTACACGCTGGGATGCGAATACAGACATCTTCGGTTCTTCGGTTCATGAGAGCAAACGGCCTACCTCCTGTTATAACCTTACTACGCAGTACCTCTGTTTAAAGCGAACTAAACGCTTAGTACAATTGAATGGTACGTATAACTAATGTCCCTTGTAATTGCACTTGTGTATTTAAAATAAACTTTGATTGACTTTTTGGTTTCCATTTAGAACCCTTCTTAAGGGGATCATATATAATCTCCCCTCCATAAATGCACCTGACATCCCGGCAACATCCAAAGAAGTGGCGGATGCATGAGGTCTTCGCATCATGTCGAATTAATTCAGAAGTATAGGTACTCCTTGTGTATAACAACTACAGTGGTATTGCAAAAGTGTTTTTAACAATTTAAAATTAAAATGATAAAAAGAAACATGTGAATGTTACTGAGTGTTTGAAGAACGAGTGCTCGCTTCTAATAATATTAAATATAGAATGGATGAGCTTCCAGCAATGAAATCACTAATTGACTGCAACAGAGTTTTTCGGGAGAAGAAGAGGAAGAGGAGGAAGGAGAACGAGAGGCAGAGGTCGCAGAGGTCGCAGAGGTAACAGAAAGCGCAGAGGTCGCAGAGGCCGCAGAGGCCGCAGAGGGAGCAGAGGGAGCAGAAAGCGCAGAGGTCGCAGAGGCCGTAGAGGCCGCAGAGGTCGCAGAGGCCGCAGAGGTAGCAGAAAGCGCAGAGGTCGCAGAGGTAACAGAAAGCGCAGAGGTCGCAGAGGTCGCAGAGGTCGCAGAGGTCGCAGAGGCCGCAGAGGGAGCAGAGGTCGCAGAGGCCGCAGAGGGCGCAGAGGTAACACAAAGCGCAGAGGTCGCAGAGGCCGTAAAGGTCGCAGAGGCCGCAGAGGGAGCAGAAAGCGCAGAGGTCGCAGAGGCCGCAGAGGCCGCAGAGGGCGCAGAGGGCGCAGAGGGAGCAGAGGCAACAGAAAGCGCAGAGGTCGCAGAGGCCGCAGAGGCCGCAGAGGCCGCAGAGGGAGCAGAGGGAGCAGAAAGCGCAGAGGTCGCAGAGGCCGTAGAGGCCGCAGAGGTCGCAGAGGTCGCAGAGGCCGCAGAGGTAGCAGAAAGCGCAGAGGTCGCAGAGGTAACAGAAAGCGCAGAGGTCGCAGAGGTCGCAGAGGTCGCAGAGGCCGCAGAGGGAGCAGAGGTCGCAGAGGCCGCAGAGGCCGCAGAGGGCGCAGAGGTAACACAAAGCGCAGAGGTCGCAGAGGCCGTAAAGGTCGCAGAGGCCGCAGAGGGAGCAGAGGCCGCAGAGGTCGCAGAGGGCGCAGAGGGCGCAGAGGGAGCAGAGGCAACAGAAAGCGCAGAGGTCGCAGAGGCCGCAGAGGCCGCAGAGGGAGCAGAGGGCGCAGAGGCCGTAGAGGCCGCAGAGGGCGCAGAGGGCGCAGAGGGAGCAGAGGCAACAGAAAGCGCAGAGGTCGCAGAGGCCGCAGAGGGAGCAGAGGCAACCGGAAGCGCAGAGGGAGCAGAGGGCGCAGAGGCCGCAGAGGCCGCAGAGGGCGCAGAGGTAGCAGAGGTATCAGAAAGCGCAGAGGTCGCAGAGGCCGCAGAGGCCGCAAAGGGCGCAGAGGGAGCAGAGGCAACAGAAAGGGCAGAGGTCGCAGAGGCCGCAGAGGCCGCAGAGGTCGCAGAGGTAGCAGAGGTAACAGAAAGCGCAGAGGTCGCAGAGGCCGCAGAGGCCGCAGAGGCCGTAGAGGCCGCAGAGGGCGCAGAGGGCGCAGAGGGCGCAGAGGTAGCAGAGGCAACAGAAAGCGCAAAGGTCGCAGAGGCCGCAGAGGGAGCAGAGGCAACAGAAAGCGCAGAGGCCGCAGAGGCCGCAGAGGTCGCAGAGGTAGCAGAGGCCGTAGAGGCCGCAGAGGGCGCAGAGGTAGCAGAGGCAACAGAAAGCGCAAAGGTCGCAGAGGCCGCAGAGGCCGCAGAGGCCGTAGAGGCCGCAGAGGGCGCAGAGGGCGCAGAGGTAGCAGAGGCAACAGAAAGCGCAAAGGTCGCAGAGGCCGCAGAGGGAGCAGAGGCAACAGAAAGCGCGGAGGTCGCAGAGGCCGCAGAGGCCGTAGAGGCCGCAGAGGGCGCAGAGGGCGCAGAGGTAGCAGAGGCAACAGAAAGCGCAGAGGTCGTAGAGGCCGCAGAGGCCGCAGAGGCCGCAGAGGCCGCAGAGGGCGCAGAGGGCGCAGAGGGAGCAGAGGCAACAGAAAGCGCAGAGGCCGCAGAGGCCGCAGAGGTCGCAGAGGTAGCAGAGGCCGCAGAGGGCGCAGAGGGCGCAGAGGTAGCAGAGGCAACAGAAAGCGCAAAGGTCGCAGAGGCCGCAGAGGGAGCAGAGGCAATAGAAAGCGCAGAGGCCGCAGAGGCCGCAGAGGTAGCAGAGGTAACAGAAAGCGCAGAGGTCGCAGAGGGCGCAGAGGGCGCAGAGGGCGCAGAGGTAGCAGAGGCAACAGAAAGCGCAGAGGGAGCAGAGGGCGCAGAGGCCGCAGAGGCCGCAGAGGGAGCAGAGGCAACAGAAAGCGCAGAGGTCGCAGAGGCCGCAGAGGCCGCAGAGGTCGCAGAGGTAGCAGAGGTAACAGAAAGCGAAGAGGTCGCAGAGGCCGTAGAGGCCGCAGAGGGCGCAGAGGTAGCAGAGGCAACATAAAGCGCAAAGGTCGCAGAGGCCGCAGAGGGAGCAGAGGCAACAGAAAGCGCAGAGGCCGCAGAGGCCGCAGAGGCAACAGAAAACGCAGAGGGAGCAGAGGGCGCAGAGGCCGCAGAGGCCGCAGAGGGCGCAGAGGGCGCAGAGGGCGCAGAGGTAACAGAAAGCGCAGAGGTCGCAGAGGCAGTAGAGGTCGCAGAGGCCGCAGAGGCCGCAGAGGGAGCAGAGGCAACAGAAAGCGCAGAGGGAGCAGAGGCCGCAGAGGCCGCAGAGGCCGCAGAGGCAGCAGAAAGCGCAGAGGGAGCAGAGGGCGCAGAGGTCGCAGAGGCCGCAGAGGCCGCAGAGGCCGCAGAGGGAGCAGAGGCAACAGAAAGCGTAGAGGGAGCAGAGGGCGCAGAGGGCGCAGAGGCCGCAGAGGGGGCAGAGGCCGCAGAGGCCGCAGAGGCCGCAGAGGGAGCAGAGGCAACAGAAAGCGTAGAGGGAGCAGAGGGCGCAGAGGCCGCAGAGGCCGCAGAGGGGGCAGAGGCCGCAGAGGCCGCAGAGGGGGCAGAGGCCGCAGAGGCCGCAGAGGCCGCAGAGGGAGCAGAGGCAACAGAAAGCGTAGAGGGAGCAGAGGCCGCAGAGGCCGCAGAGGCCGCAGAGGGGGCAGAGGCCGCAGAGGCCGCAGAGGCCGCAGAGGCCGCAGAGGCCGCAGAGGGAGCAGAGGCAACAGAAAGCGTAGAGGGAGCAGAGGGCGCAGAGGCCGCAGAGGCCGCAGAGGCAGCAGAAAGCGCAGAGGGAGCAGAGGGCGCAGAGGTCGCAGAGGCCGCAGAGGCGGAAGAGGCCGCAGAGGCCGCAAAGGCAGCAGAGGCCGCAGAGGGAGCAGAGGCAACAGAAAGCGCAGAGGTCGCAGAGGGCGCAGAGGCCGCAGAGGCCGCAGAGGGGGCAGAGGTCGCAGAGGCCGCAGAGGCCGCAGAGGCCGCAGAGGCAACAGAAAGCGTAGAGGGAGCAGAGGGCGCAGAGGCCGCAGAGGCCGCAGAGGGGGCAGAGGGCGCAGAGGCCGCAGAGGCCGCAGAGGCCGCAGAGGGAGCAGAGGCCGCAGAGGCCGCAGAGGTGGCAGAGGCCGCAGAGGCCGCAGAGGGAGCAGAGGCAACAGAAAGCGTAGAGGGAGCAGAGGGCGCAGAGGGCGCAGAGGCCGCAGAGGGGGCAGAGGCCGCAGAGGCCGCAGAGGCCGCAGAGGCCGCAGAGGGAGCAGAGGCAACAGAAAGCGTAGAGGGAGCAGAGGGCGCAGAGGCCGCAGAGGCCGCAGAGGGGGCAGAGGCCGCAGAGGCCGCAGAGGCCGCAGAGGCCGCAGAGGCCGCAGAGGCCGCAGAGGGAGCAGAGGCAACAGAAAGCGTAGAGGGAGCAGAGGGCGCAGAGGGCGCAGAGGCCGCAGAGGGGGCAGAGGCCGCAGAGGCCGCAGAGGCCGCAGAGGCCGCAGAGGCCGCAGAGGGAGCAGAGGCAACAGAAAGCGTAGAGGGAGCAGAGGGCGCAGAGGCCGCAGAGGCCGCAGAGGCCGCAGAGGCCGCAGAGGGAGCAGAGGCAACAGAAAGCGTAGAGGGAGCAGAGGGCGCAGAGGCCGCAGAGGCCGCAGAGGCCGCAGAGGGAGCAGAGGCAACAGAAAGCGTAGAGGGAGCAGAGGGCGCAGAGGCCGCAGAGGCCGCAGAGGCCGCAGAGGCCGCAGAGGGAGCAGAGGCAACAGAAAGCGTAGAGGGAGCAGAGGGCGCAGAGGCCGCAGAGGCCGCAGAGGCCGCAGAGGCCGCAGAGGCCGCAGAGGGAGCAGAGGCAACAGAAAGCGTAGAGGGAGCAGAGGGCGCAGAGGGGGCAGAGGCCGAAGAGGCCGCAGAGGCCGCAGAGGGAGCAGAGGCCGCAGAGGCCGCAGAGGGGGCAGAGGCCGCAGAGGGAGCAGAGGCAACAGAAAGCGTAGAGGGAGCAGAGGGCGCAGAGGTCGCAGAGGCCGCAGAGGCGGAAGAGGCCGCAGAGGCCGCAGAGGCCGCAGAGGCCGCAGAGGGAGCAGAGGCAACAGAAAGCGCAGAGGGAGCAGAGGGCGCAGAGGTCGCAGAGGCCGCAGAGGCGGAAGAGGCCGCAGAGGCCGCAGAGGCCGCAGAGGCCGCAGAGGGAGCAGAGGCAACAGAAAGCGCAGAGGGAGCAGAGGGCGCAGAGGCCGCAGAGGCCGCAGAGGCCGCAGAGGCCGCAGAGGGAGTAGAGGCAACAGAAAGCGCAGAGGGAGCAGAGGCCGCAGAGGCCGCAGAGGGAGTAGAGGCAACAGAAAGCGCAGAGGGAGCAGAGGCCGCAGAGGTCGCAGAGGGCGCAGAGGTCGCAGAGGGCGCAGAGGCCGCAGAGGCCGCAGAGGCAACAGAAAGCGCAGAGGGAGCAGAGGGCGCAGAGGGCGCAGAGGGCGCAGAGGCCGCAGAGGCCGCAGAGGGAGCAGAGGCAACAGAAAGCGCAGAGGGAGCAGAGGGCGCAGAGGCCGCAGAGGCCGCAGAGGCCGCAGAGGCAACAGAAAGCGCAGAGGGAGCAGAGGCCGCAGAGGCCGCAGAGGGAGTAGAGGCAACAGAAAGCGCAGAGGGAGCAGAGGCCGCAGAGGCCGCAGAGGGAGCAGAGACAACAGAAAGCGCAGAGGGCGCAGAGGTCGCAGAGGCCGCAGAGGCCGCAGAGGCCGCAGAGGGAGCAGAGGCAACAGAAAGCGCAGAGGGAGCAGAGGGCGCAGAGGCCGCAGAGGCCGCAGAGGGAGCAGAGGCAACCGAAAGCGCAGAGGGAGCAGAGGGCGCAGAGGCCGCAGAGGCCGCAGAGGCCGCAGAGGCAGCAGAGGCAACAGAAAGCGCAGAGGGAGCAGAGGGCGCAGAGGCCGCAGAGGCCGCAGAGGCCGCAGAGGCCGCAGAGGCAGCAGAGGCAACCAAAAGCGCAGAGGGAGCAGAGGGCGCAGAGGCCGCAGAGGGCGCAGAGGCCGCAGAGGTAACAGAAAGCGCAGAGGTCGCAGAGGCCGCAGAGGCCGCAGAGGCGGTAGAGGCCGCAGAGGGCGCAGAGGGCGCAGAGGGAGCAGAGGCAACAGAAAGCGCAGAGGGAGCAGAGGCAACAGAAAGCGCAGAGGCCGCAGAGGGCGCAGAGGTAGCAGAGGTAGCAGAGGTAACAGAAAGCGCAGAGGTCGCAGAGGCCGCAGAGGCCGTAGAGGCCGCAGAGGCCGTAGAGGCCGCAGAGGGCGCAGAGGGAGCAGAGGCAACAGAAAGCGCAGAGGTCGCAGAGGCCGCAGAGGACGCAGAGGCCGCAGAGGTCGCAGAGGCCGTAGAGGTCGCAGAGGCCGCAGAGGGAGCAGAAGGCGCAGAGGTCGCAGAGGCCGCAGAGGCCGCAGAGGCCGCAGAGGCCGCAGAGGCCGCAGAGGTAACAGAAAGCGCAGAGGTCGCAGAGGCCGTAGAGGTCGCAGAGGCCGTAGAGGTCGCAGAGGCCGTAGAGGTCGTAGAGGCCGCAGAGGGAGCAGAAGGCGCAGAGGGCGCAGAGGTCGCAGAGGCCGCAGAGGCCGCAGAGGTCGCAGAGGCCGCAGAGGACGCAGAGGCAGCAGAGGCAACCAAAAGCGCAGAGGGAGGAGAGGGCGCAGAGGCCGTAGAGGTCGCAGAGGCCGCAGAGGTAACAGAAAGCGCAGAGGTCGCAGAGGCCGTAGAGGTCGCAGAGGCCGTAGAGGTCGCAGAGGCCGTAGAGGTCGCAGAGGCCGCAGAGGGAGCAGAAGGCGCAGAGGCCGCAGAGGCCGCAGAGGCCGCAGAGGGCGCAGAGGCCGCAGAGGCCGCAGAGGCCGCAGAGGTAACAGAAAGCGCAGAGATCGCAGAGGCCGCAGAGGTAACAGAAAGCGCAGAGGTCGCAGAGGCCGTAGAGGTCGCAGAGGCCGCAGAGGTCGCAGAGGCCGCAGAGGGAGCAGAAGGCGCAGAGGTCGCAGAGGCCGCAGAGGCCGCAGAGGTCGCAGAGGCCGCAGAGGCCGCAGAGGCAACAGAAAGCGCAGAGGTCGCAGAGGCCGCAGAGG